AACTGTAATAACTAATAATTACTAATAAAAAGTCCCCAGGCCAAGGAGGTCACCTTAATACCGAAAAAAAAAAAAAAGAATCATCAACTTTTTCATTTTTGGAAAAAAAATAATTGATTGTATTTTTCTGTAAAATAGTTTTGTCCTCAATATAAGATTTTTTAGAACCAAAGAATGCCAAACAATCTGCTTACTCATTTTCATAAATTCCCGAATATAATTTAATATGGTTGAAATAAATTTTTCCTTTATGTTTATGGATAAAATTATTTAATCTATTAATAATATCATCATTAACCTTGGGAAGATCACTATTGTAAGAATAAATAATATATGTGCTATCTGTATTAATTACAATATCTATATTAGAATTAATAGTCTTAAGAGCACAAATTGCTGCATAAATTTCTGCACGATTGTTTGTCTGCTTTTTACCAGAAAGATGTTCAAAGATTTTACGTAAGTCACTACCTGCAAAAAAAACTCCAATACCAGCCTTGAACCTAACTTTTCTCAATATTGTTTCTTATTATTTCTAATAGAAAAATTATTATTACATAAACTATCAGTTCATATATTTAAATAATTAACCAGTTTATCTTTAATGAAATCTTTAGCCTGCTGCTTTGATTCAAATTTTTTAAACAAAGCACCAGAATAACCATTTATTTGTTCTTCATATTCTTTTTATGATAAATAAATACCAGAATTTTGACCCATATATACAGCATAATATCCTATTGTTAAAAAAAACTATAAATTTGTTATCTTGAGGCCAATCAATGAAGTTGAAGAACAACAAGAATATTTAGAATATCAACTATATTGTGCAAAGTGAGAGTTAGCATAATGTAAAGAAAATAAATAACCAAACAAAATATAGTTGGGAGCTCTCTCATCTGATTCACCTGATTAGTTGAAAATAAAGATGATTTGAATTGAAGTTGAGATCGAAGGGGAGGGTTTATATAGAGATGAAGAGCTAAGCCACCCAAATTTAAAACTGTATAGAATAGTGATCATTCGGTGTAATTACACTAAATAATCAAAATAAAATTATAAAAATATTGATTTTGACCCTTGGTTAAAAAAAATAACGAAGAAAAAAGATGAATATTAAATTTGTGAACTATCAAAAATTTGACTACAACACGATTAAGATCATAGAATATTCTAAGATCATAAAATTTTACAACAAATTTGAAAAATCAACACTTTTTTACAATAAAGTTTTTGGACATTCATTTAATTTAAAGAAGCTAATGAAACATATAGAAACAAAATTTAATCATTATATTTTTGGTAATAAAATATTGAAATATGAGCTAAATATAGAAATGATCAAAATAAATGATGCAATTATTATTTTGGCATTAACAAAAGTAGTAAAAAATAGCAGTGGTGATGTTAGATTTGTTGTTGAACATATTTTTTCAACATGAATTATAACTCGATTAAACTAAATTGTAATAAAATATCTAAATATTTATCTAAAAGAGTACTATTCACTTTATACATTTTTCCTTACACACTTCACAAAGCATGTGAGTGTGTATAAACTCGTAAATGTCAGCTGTTGTCATTTGTAGTAATATGAGATTGTTTTTGCTACAATTGGAGATACCACAACAATTGTGGTGAACAATTGTGTTTAATCACAGAATTGCATTTTTTGATATCTTTTATATTCATCTTTCTCTTTAATTTCTAAAGCTCTATTATATTTTTTAAACATTATTTTTCTCAAGCATGGCACATAACAAAAATATCTACCAGATGCTGATTTATACAACACTTTTTTTAGATTTCTTAGTTTGGGCCAAAAAATATTTTCTACTAAAATTAAGAATACTCTTAATAATGTTTTATTATGTTGTGGTCTTGAAGGCAAGATTAATCTTTCATATATTCCTATCAACTTCTCTAATCTTAAATCAATATTTATCTATATGAACGCAATAAAATTTAAAGACAACCAATCAAAACTACAAAACTTCACTACACAATTAGCTTCATTAAAAAATCTTGATTTTACTAAATGCTTAAATCAATTCTTAGTTTCTGATATTCAACTTGAATATTATGCTGTAGATATAGCATATTATTGTTTAATTGATTCTATATGATGTTAAGAATTATTATTAAAAAGAAATATAATACAAGATTATATTCAACTAGTTTCTTTATCATGTACCACAATATCAAATATTTTTACAAATAGTATTGGTTGTTTGGTTTGTAATCTCTATTAGCAAGTTGCTGCTAGACAAAATATTTTAATCTTGATGAATCGTAAAGGAGTTATTGAAATAAGTCAAAAATATCAAGGTGGATTAGTCATCGTTCTTCGTAAAAATATAAATAATCATTTGGTACCAGATATTGATTTTACATTAATGTATCTGAATGTGATTATAACAATAAACATTTCTTTAGAGACTGAAGTTCCTACCACTTCATCTAATCTGTCTCTAAATATAATTTTTGATAATGACCAGATAATTACAAAATTTAAACCTCATTATTATCAAGAAGAAAAGATGGGGTTAATGCTATTGATATGTAAAAAGTTGTTAGAAGAATGTGCTGAGGCTAAAAGATTAATAAAAGAATATAAAAATAATCCTGTCGAATTAGCATACTTCTCATCAAAATCAAATGTATTAAAAGTACTGGCAAATTTAACATATAGCAAAACAGGATATCTCTACTCTCTTTTCTACAGGAAAACAATAGCATTATTAGTTACAGCATTTTCACGTAAAACTTTAAAAAAAGTTATCTCTTTCTTGAAATTGCAACAATGTTATATAATTTATGATGATACAGATTCAGTTTTTTTCACAATACCTGAACAATATTTTTTCAAGATAGATCAAGAATATTCACAAAACAAACAACTCTACTGCCAAAAATCTATAGAAAAATCGATCTCATTTACAAAACATATTAAAGGCACAGTAAACAAATATATGTATCAAGTAAATAGTAGCTCATATATGAGATGGCATATGAAAAAGTTTTTTATCTATCTTTGTTTCTTCGCAAAAAACAGTATTGCAGTATTGTTTATGAGCACGAATCAAATTTTTCAACCCCAAATCTGTTAATTAAGAGTTTGAAAATTGTTAAACGTAACATATCCCTATTTTACAAAAAAGTGGTCACTGAATTAATCTAGAGCTGTTTGGGATTCGATAATTAAAAACAATTATCACAATCACATCTTAAATCACCAGATGTGATAGCTTATAAAGTAATTTATAGGTATATTACACAAGTTAAATTACTAGATCTGCAATTATTCACATTAACTACAAAATATGATCTCATATTTAGAAAAATAACCAATTGTGATTATATTATTGCTATTTGAATATATTAAAAAAATTCTTCTAAAGATACAATATTTTGTGAATATATTGATAAATAAAGAAAACTTAAACAATCAATTGATTTCAAAAAAGAAAATACAATAGTTCTCAATTTTGTCGAATCTTGGACGTTTTGAATATTATATCTTGTATTATATGGATTCAAAAGTTAGCATATCACACAAAATGATATTAGCCAAAGAGTATACATCAGATAAAGAAATAGATATCATTTACTATTTCAACAATCTTCATGATATTTGTGCATCATTGTTATTATATGATGAAAAACAGGTTTTAAAAACAATTAAAGATATATATGAAACTGATAAACATAAAAAACAACTTTTGATAACAAATTTTTTCTTTCCTTCTTTAACTTCTCAACCTGTATTAAAATATAAATTAGAAGATTTGTCATCTACATCTAAATCTCTTGTTAAAAAACAGAAAAAATTAGATTTTTATTCATTATAATTATTAATATATTTTAATCTTGTAAATACTATCTAATTAGTTTATTAACCAATTGGAATTTTTCTTATATAAACAATAGAAGTTCCTCTTTTCATAAATAAAAATTGGATAATACTCAAATTGCCGTATTATATAAAATTTGCTAGTAATCTTATTTATACAATCATACAAGAAGAGGGAAAATTTTATAATGTTTTTATTGAAAACACAACATCAAAATATTTTCTAACAGATTTTTGGATTTTTTCTATTAGTTTTCTGGCTACTGGCATTATAATAGTAAAAGATTATTTTTTCAAAAATGAATTTATTGAATTGTTAAAAGCAATTGAAATGGATGATGAAGAGTATTACTATACTTTCTACAAAAAAGTTGCTGAAAATTATTAATATTTTTTTAAATTTATTCTGTACTAAATACTGAATAAAAATTTTTTTTATCAATTATTTCAACCAATCAGATTTATTTAAATAAATACTATATCACTATTAATATTCTCTAATAAAATTCTTTTTCTTATTTTCATATCTTTGAGAAAAGAGGATGATCAATATTATCTTGAACTTTTACATAAAACATTATAGTATATCTATTAATGTATAGCATTTGATCTAAAAAATCAACAATTTTTATTTGTAGCTAGAAAATTTCTATTAGTTTTTCTATTTAAAAAAATTGTAATTACAAAAAAACACAATTATGCTTTTTTTGACAAGATTTATAATCACTGTAAAAATTGTAAAATCCTCAAGATTGATTGTAATTTCAAACACATTGCACAAGTTGTACTTTAAAAAAGATACCATATGATAAGAAAGATTTTAAAAAAGTGTTGTATAAATCAGCATCTGGTAGATATTTTTGTTATACCCCATTCTCAAGAAAGATAATGTTTAAAAATATAATAGAGCTATAGAAATTATGGAGAAAGACGAATATGAAAGATGTCGACAAATGCAATTCTGTGATCAAAACACGATTATTTACCACAATTGTTGTAGCATCTCCAATTGTAATAAAAATGGTATTGTAGTACCACGAATAACAACAACCAACATTTATGAGTTTACACACATCTATATGCTTTGTGAAGATTGTAAGGAAAAATGTGTAAAGCGAATAGTACTCTTTTAGATAAATATTTAGATATTTTATTACGATTTAATTTATAACCAAGTTATAAATCATGTTGAATAAATATGTTCAACAACAAATCTAACATCACCATTGTTATTTTTTACTACTTCTGTTAATGCTAAAATAATAATTGTGTTATTTATTTTGATTTTTTCTATTTTTAGCTCATATTTAAATATTTTATTACCAAAAACATAATGATTAAATTTTGTTTCTATATGTTTTATTAGCTTTTTCAAATTAAATAATTGTTTGAAAACTTTTTTGTAAAATAGTGTTGATTTTTCAAATTTGTTGTAAAATTTTATAATCTCAGAATATTCCATGATCTTAATTGTGTTGTGATCAAATTTTTGAAAGTTTACAGATTTAATATTCATTTTTTTTTTGTTATTTTTTTTAATCAAGGTTCAAAAACATCATTTTTATAAATTTTATTCTGATTATTCAGTGTAATTACACCGAATGATCATTATTCTATACAGTTTTATATTTTGGGTGGCTTAGCACTTCATCTCTATATAAACTCTCTTTTTCGATTTCACCCTTAATTTTAAATCACCTTTAATTTTAACCAATCAGGTGAGAGAGATTCACAACCTGTAATAACTTTCGTATTTAATATGATAAATTTTACTAACACTCATTTTCGCTAACTTGGTGACTTTATGGATAGTGTGGTTTCTAACTAGTTTTTATAATTGTAATTCATTTACTTGAATTATTTATAATATAATTCCAGAATGCCGAAAGCTTCAACATTAAGATACTATGCAGTTCGCAAAGGTTATAATCTAGAAATCTATTTAAATTAGAAGAAATGTAAGAAACAAGTAAAAGGTTGCTCTGGTGCTTTGTATAAAAAATTTAAAACGAAGCAACAAGCACAAAAATATATCGATGAACAAAAAATTAAAGGTGATGATCTATTGAATATTTGGACAGATAGTTATTTTAAGAAGAATGGAAAAACTGATGCAATTGCAAGTATTGAGGTTTTTTTTTAGCAAAGATAGTGAAAAGAATTTATCTAAAAGATTGCCTGGAATTAGAGATGGTTAGGTTGGTTTAGGTTTGGTTTTGGTTCCAGAACCTTTAGGTTCTATTTTAAATATCTAAGAACTTGGTTTTTAAAAAGTTTCAAAACCAGGTTTAGAACCTGGTTTCAGAACCTGGTTCTAGAACCAGGTTACAATTTTCTTCTAACCAGGTTCTAAAACCAGGTTCTGAAGCCAGATTCTAGAACCAGATTATAATTTGCTTCTAACCAAGTTCTAGAACCTGGTTCTGTTACTACTAAAAATTTTTACATACTCAACCAGTGATGATTATTCGAGATCAGATGTAACATAACATAATTGAGAAATATTCTTTTGTTAAAAATCGCTTATTTTACTAATTATACATTATCTGCCTGATCATGTTTTGCAAGTAATTTTAATAGTGCAGAAACTGATGATTATAAACTTTATATCGTTTGTATCATAACATACAATATTTACTTTTAATTATCCTGTTTATTCAATTATCTGTTACGTAAATAAAGAAATTAATACATGGATCACACCCTAATAAGTAAATATTTGTTCCACTATTACTATATATAGTTAGATTTGAATAAAAAATTTGGCTGAAAAAGCACTAATGATAATACATAATATTTTGGGGAATTCTATTTTAAAAAAAAATAAAATTTGCCAAGTTTTATATGATATAAACTAAGCATTTGATTGTACTATTTTTTAATGAAAAAATAAAGTATCATTACAGCTTATCTTGGATTAGTTATAATTTTAATCATTATTTTTAACACCTTTTTTTAATCAGATTTGGCTT